CCCCAAAACCCCAAAACCCCTCAAATTAGACTTTTAGTTACTAGATAGTAAAATTACATGAAATTCAAGAAAAATAATTATTATCAAAAGCAATCAAACAAATATTGATTTTCTATTTTTTTCCTTATTATATAACCCTGGTCATTATTTTAAAATCACCTTTTATAATCAATTTATACTTAAAATCTCGTGAAATTAGATCGATTCTCATATAGCTCTCATTATTTCAAACTTTTTCTAAGTTATACTTTGCAAGCCTCTTTTTCAGTTCATCTAGTCTATTCTCATCTGTTTTCTTTTCATCTCTAAAAACAGGTGCCAGATTTACCTGACTAGACATTAGAATTGATGGCTATCTATGAGGTAGTCCTGGAGAAACATTATTACTTCCATTACTTGCCTTGCTGAAATAAGAAAATTAGTGCTAGTAGGACATTTTCTCCTCCTCTTGATTTTTATGTCTGCCTGTAAGTTGATCATCACTTCCTAAAGTATCTATGTAGTTATTTCTCTGCATATGATTTTAGACGAGAGAAATTCCGAATTATTTGCTCTTTGCCTGAGTTTTTGAAGAAACGAAAATTCCATTCTACATTGAGATAGGCTTCTCAGATATTGGTAATGATTCCTATTTCATAAAATTTTTAGTTGAATCTGTCAATTTTTTGTTGCTCAATCGATGACTCCTTGCTTTTTAATATTTTAAACTTGTCATTTATTAAGGGCTTTAGGATTTTCTAAATTGGGTGCCAATACTATTAGGATTTCTTGGAGTCATAGATAACTAGGATGGAGATAACGAATTTTGTCTTTGATCAAAATGTCCTGATGCAGTCTTTGCTATCATTTCTTATTCATTCAAGTCATTCTCTTCTTCTAAGGTCAAACTAACTTCATCAACTTGCTCTATTTCATTTGATGGCTTTGATTATGAAAACTCCATTACTTGTATGTCAACTGCAGGTATTTACTCTTACTTTTTCTTTAGCTGATTTAGAATTAACGTACTCTCAAATTAATTCTAAAGTTGATAGTCAAACATCTTTTTTACTTTTCTTTTCATGGCTCTCATCATTAGGAATCTTCTATAGTAAATCTTTGAGTACTTAACAATAGAGAAAGCCATTAATACAAAAAGATATCCCCAGTTTAGGATTATGAAATTAATCACCATCATTACAATTATCCATCCTATTGTATAACGCATTTCTATATCAGTAATAATGTCACCCACTAGAACTAAAATTAAAGTCAAGATTGTGAAATACTAGAGCTCATTAAAAATCTCAAAATTGTTTCCTTATCTAGAGTCCAAAGGCTTATAATGGATTTAAGTAGTCAAAGTACCAAGAGCAATTATAAGATTGAATAAAATTTAGATGATGTCAAGATCAAGTAAGAATACAACTGAAAGTCCATATATTAATCTCTTCATGTAAAACATAGAAGCATTTAAAATCAAATGAGGACACTATTGTCTCATTCCAAGATAAAGTGACCCAAATCTCTTTTTGAATGATCTTTCAAATAACCTCTCTTCATTCATCAATAAAAATGCGTAAGTAGAGAAAGGCATCATAAACATAACAATTAACACAAGTCCTGAGATAGTCATTTCATAATCATTACTTTCCTTTCCACTAGATAACTAAAACATCAATTATAAGCATAGAAATCATTACATATTAAAGTGATATACATGCACTGATACTGAATGTTAAATAACTCTGGGAAAAATATCTTATCACTGAGCTAAAGAATACTTTCCTATGCAATTTTAACAGAATTTCTTTCACTCTAGAGTCATAAATCTCATAGATCTTACAAATCATATTTATCGCTTAGTCTTTTACAGAGAAACATCAATATTCCTAATAAAACTAATATAAATAGTCCAATGAAAATGTAGCCAACATTGACTAGTATACTCCTGTTTTTGTAATATATTCAGATAGGATTTTAATAAATCGAAATTCTCCTTTTAACATATTCAAAAGATATCTGCTTCTTATAAGCTATCTCGAAGAAACTCATCAGTTTCACTTACATAGTTAAAAAAGTGAGATTTAACAGTGTCTTTATCAACAAACTAAAGTGATGTTATACCCACTAGCTGAGTAAAGCATAAAACAACATTAGATGGTAAATTGAATCCCATTAAAGGCAAGTTAACTATTAGCTAAAGAATATTCATCATTCGCCAAAGCATTTTCATAGAAAATCTAAACGCCAATTGTAGAAAAAGATTTATAGCGATAGCATAAAATATGGTATTAACACTAGTTTTTGTAGCTTTATCTAAGATTACCATTGGCGCTACATAAAATCATTAATATAGTTTCTTCTTACTTGAGTTGTAGAATTACTGACCAATTCTTCTTTCAATTGTATAATTAAAGGGAATTCTTGCATCTCTTATCACATTTACAAATAAATCATTTCTAGTAAATGTTACCTTAAGGACATCTTATATCTAAAAACAAGATTAGACTCAGTTTAAAATATTACAGATGATTAAGAAACACCTTCAGGATAAGAAAATTCTAATTGCAGTTTCAGATCTATACCATCGAAAGAGATGGCATAAAAATGAGTTACATTCTATAATTTTTAATCAACAACCTCTCTGAGCCCGTCTTAAATTTCAATAGTCAAATGCTTTTGAAAATCTATCTTGCTTACGTCGCGATTTAAAGCTAGTGTATCATTAAATCTGATTGTGGCTATTCCTCTAAAACTCATGGAAATAATTCTTGCTGTGATTATCCTTTTTACCCTTGGGTTATTGACAGATCCTTCTGATCCAACATCTATATTTTCACTTGGTAGATTAGTTTGATTACCGCGGAAATAAATACCTACATCTACTTTTAATACACCAATATATGAGAGGTTGTCACTTAGACTAGTTACTGAGTATTATATCTCGTATGATTTCAACTCATTCCTTTAAGTAGGATTAAATTTAAGATTAAAATTCTCAAATTTTGCAAATTCACTAGCCTCACCTAAATCAATAGCTAAATCAAAATTCTAGAAAAACTTTAATGCCAATGCTTAAGTTTTGAATAAATAAACCTAGGTCTATATTGAATTTTCTAGTTTCATATCTTTCAAGTTTAAATAGCTGAAAAAAGGTAAATCTGAATAGCTCTGTATAACAGTAAAGGCATAATTTGTTTAGCTTTTACTCCCCGAGACAGTATCCCTTCCCTATATTAATATGTTGTGAATTCCAATATCAGATTCTTATATTGGCTCTATGTTAAATATTCTGCTCACAGAATCAAAAGTTATAAATGAAGGCAACGGAGTAGCAAGATAGACAATGTTGTTGCAAATACTATATTAATTTATCCATTCAGGCAGCTCATACTAATAAGTATCCTTTAATTTCACATTGATTGTGGAAGTTTACGCTACTGCAAATATCTAATTAACATTACATTCTTCAGTTACTTGAACCATGAATGTATCACTATAAATATTTCTACTCTTTAAACCGCTATTAGTAGTATAATCATTTAAACTGCTAACGTATATATTGATATCAACTCTATAATTTCCAATTGAGTTTAAGCCATTTGAAGTGAATTAAAAGTGAGTAGGATTTGAAATGTCAATTTTTTATATTGTTTAATAAGTTAAGCCGTCTTCGATTTTTGTAACAAGAATCTATGATGAATACGGACATAAAGCTTCATAAGTCTATGGCCACTAGATATCTGCAATGACATAGCCGTCTCCATAGCTTAAAAAATATGTAAGATCAGGTATAGTTTGAGCAGTTATTACAACTTTATCACAAGTATACTGTTGAATAAGTATTTCGTAATTGTAGGATGCGGTTTGCCAAGTTTCTTAAACAGTAGCAGTTAGTGAAAAAATTATAGTATAGCCATCATAAGTTGTATCAGCAGTATTCAAAGTGAATTAATAGTTGATATTATCGATAGAATATATTGTTGAAGTTCCAAAAATTGAGTTAGATAATGAGGATTCAAATTTAATTTCCTAAGTCAGAGTTGCAAGGTCGCAATCAATGGTATATGGAGTCATTGTAAATGTTTATGAATTACCAATCATATATGTTCCAGTTAAAGTTGACTAGGTGCTAAAGGTATAAGCATTTACAGTTCCACAGGTAACTAGACTTACAGAATTCGAGGCTATTACATTAAAGGCTACTGAACTGTAAGAAAAAGAATAATAGCTCGCAGTACCAGCCATACTTTGAATTGAAGCAAGATTTAGATCAATAGTTATTTTTTGATCAGGTACTTCATTAGTCTCTTAACTTCCTAGACATCTATAGCTAGATTAAAATGTTAGTATAGCACCTATCTTCTGACTAAAAGTTTAATCAGCAATGCCAGTTGGTCCTCCTCCAAAGTTGTCATAACCTCCTACGAATACATAGCCTCCCTAATTGCTTAAGTATTTTGAACTATAGATGTTATTAGTATTTGAGGCGAAGATAGTGATTGCTTAAACTGAGCAAGCTAAAGTTTGAAAATTTATCTTCATAAGTTTAAATCCTAGCCCAGATGCATCTTGGTATAACAGCTCTACTGATTGTGAATCAATTCCTCTAATTTAAGTTACAGTAGTAATTTCAGTTGGTAAATTTATACTATAATCAGAAGTGAGAGTATCAGTGTTCACATTGTACTCTAAAAACAATACTCTTTAGAATTTCTCATTACTTGATGATAATTAAACATAATAACTAGCGTAAATCCAATCAATTGAAAATGATCCACTAATTACATCTAATTACTATATTCTTGCAGAAACTTAATTTGTTTAAATATTTAATTTGATTGAAGCGCTAAACGTACTTGTATAATCAGCTCTTTAAATATGTGCTTATTCGATTGAGCCTTGAAACAGATAACCTCCAAAATAAGCAAAGTTACCATCTGCACTAGTATCTCCAGTAATTGCCACTCCTAAAACACCACTGTAATAAGAAGAATATAAAGTTGTTGTTGAATAAAACGAAAGAAGCATGTAATATCCTGTTGTAGTTTGCATATTAATCCAGACACCTGTATTCGGAATTTAAGGATAAATTAATCAAGCGAAAGTAGGAAGTGTAATGGCAGTAGAAGAAATTTTAGAATATTAGAGTAATACACCGTCAGCAGCATTCACACTTAGGTAAGTCAATCATGGATGGTTTAGCAAAACATTAATCTCAGCATATGTATAATAGAACTCGAGAGAAAGAACCATGTATCCTACTTAATATATTGCTTTTGACCATAAATATGTGCTTGCTGGAGTGATCATCGCAATAATTGGCTACATCTCATTCAATGGTGTTCCCAGTAATCCACTATCATAAGTATATCCTCCTATTCCAATATTACCTACATTGTCATCATCAAAAGCAGTAAATGCTGTTTCAGCATTTGTCCCTCCAAGTATTATTGGAAAAGTAGTAGCGGGACATGAGGCTGCTAAAAATCTGAACTCATTAAATTAATCCATTCTTTTAAAATTATATACTCTTACCTGTTGGGCTTTTTTATATTAATTTAATCAGACTAATAAATAATTTCATTTTTCTTTAAATTCCTCTAAAAGCAAAGTTACCATCTGCACTAGTATCTCCAGTAATTGCCACTCCTAAAACACCAAAACCCCAAAACCCCAAAACCCCAAAACCCCAAAACCCCTGAAAACAAATTGTGAAGACTCTAGCAGAGCTGAAAATAAATTAAGTTAATTAAATAAAATACTGGCGATACATTCATTGCTGCTTTGATCATAACTTCTTCTTGATGGCCTTAGTCTTTTTGTTTCCCTTCTTGTTTTTGATCTTTTCTACGATTTCCATCTCCTCGTCTGACTCGTTGTCCTCCAGCATGTCCATGTCTTTTGACATTGACTTTTTATTCTATTGCTGGAACTTGGCGAGATCCTTAAGTCTCTTCTCTTCCTTCTTTCTCTCAATGTAAGACTTGATCTTTGAGTCAGAGATTAGACCTGAATGTGTCAGCAACTCATTCTCAACATCCTGCTTCTTTTTAGCCTCTGCCTTTGCCATTCTTCTGGCAAAGAATCTCTCTTGTCTCTTGGTCTTGATTTCATCGATTTTCTTCATGGCTTGGATGGTCTTGACCATAAGAGTTCTGTTATATCTGGTTGGTACATTTCTTCTTTGCTCGAATTCAAGTACGCTGTCAACAGTCATCTCCTTGCCGTGTGCGGCTCTGTAAGCCTTGGTCCACTTCAACTTTCTTGGGTTCTTCTTTGCCTTAAACAGTCTATTGCACTTTGAACTGCAGAATCTGAATGTCTAAATATATGAGATTAATCATCGACATTCTGAAATTGAAATATTGAGAGTGTGAGTCAAATGTGATTATCAGTATCAGCATTAGTGACATTTATGATATTCGTGTTTAGTTTACCTTAGAGTCATTACGAACGAACATGACGCCGTGACCAGGGTAGACCTTGGCGGAGCAGAAGTAGCAAATGTCTATTCTCATTTTTATAATTAGTACTAGTAATACTGTGTTAATATATAAATATTATATTTAATATGTTTTAATGAAATCAAATACTCATTCACCCTTACTCATTGCAACTATTCACTCATTCGATGGATATTCATAGTCAGAGCAAGGTGGAGTAGACTGATACTCAAATCGCTTGAGCATCAAATAAGAAGGTCCCTCAAATTTCCTTGAAAAGGATGAGGGAAGCTGAGAAGCAATAGTTCAAAAGCTCGAATTCCTTGTCTAAATCCTAGAGTCTCTTGATTGACATTTGATCTTCAAGTTACTCATCTTCATTCAAATTCTAAATAGCCCCACCAAGTCTCTCAATTCTCTATTGAATACCCTTTTGGTCTCTCTTGAACTTCTGCTTCATGTGTTCGAACCAATTCAAACCTTCAAAAGCCTCAATCTAATCCAAAATCTTCAACAAATAAGCCAAACCTAATGGGAATCCATCCTCTGAAATAAAAGCATCCTTATTGTTCTTTTTAAATATCTTTTCTTTACCCTTTTTGATATACTCTATGTAGTTTAGAGTAAGTGGGGGTATAATGATATAGAATAGTTTGAGATGTGCGCATTCAGCGTCGTCAAACACACCCTCAAAGTTTTTGCCTATTCTTCTAAGGAAATCAGTTGCATCTCCAGCCTAGTTCTACAATAGTCTGATTGACATGTCAAACATTTTGCATGCCTCCATGCTTTCCAATTTAATGCCAAGTTCAGTTGCCACATCTTCAAACTTAACTTCGTCTAAAATCTTAGGGATATATTTGATAAGGTTAGAATTATCCTTGAGAGAAGCATTTCTGATCATTCTTACGAAACCAAGAGCATTACCAAACTGAGTGATAAGCTGTCTAAATTTGTCTAAGAATGTCATGCCACCCTTAAGTGTTCCTAATTTCTTAATTGCTTTGGCAACTTTTTCTGATCTTTCATAGGGATACTGGCCATTTAATTTCTCCTTATTAGTGTTGAAGAACCTCTACTCTTGCAATAATGGATTATGAATGAAATCATCGTATAAGAACTCACTAAACACGCTGAATTTCTTAATCAAGAACTTATAGAAAGTGTTCACTGCTGAGTCCAGAATACCCACTCCATGAGTCTTGATTGAAAATAGCATTTGATTCACTGAAATAGTTTTAATCTGTTTTGTGTCTTTGGTGGTCTCAATAAATACCTGAGTGTGCAGGTTATAGTTATACTTTGAGACATAGCTGTTCAGATTTCTGAGTAAATACAATATATCCACGCCCTATTCTAAAGTCTGCGAGGGTAAATGAGAGGGAAGCACGTCAATGTCAAACTTTTCCTTGGCAAGGATACGCATGTGCTGATAAGTCTTCCAGTCATGTGGTGAGAGTGCAGTCATTTCATAGAATATTTTGCTTAGATAGTGTCTGACTTCCTCCTTGATGCTCACTTTCTTTTCAAACAAGTACAGATCACTCATTCTTGTGTACATAGCCCAGTCTTAAATGCGTTCTCTCTGTGGATTTCTTTGTTTCAAGTTGCTGATGATGACCTAATGGATCTGTAAACGTAACTCCTCTTCAATCTTCCTGCAAATAGGAGTAACAATATTAGAAGTGAAAGCCTGATAAATTTCCTTTTTGTAGTTGTCTATGGCTCTTTAGGAAGTGTCAAGATGCTTAATGTTAATGATCATGTCAAGTGGATCGTTTAATGACATGAGGAAGTAGTTGAGCTAATTAAGTCTGTGTTTATCAGCAACGATCTTTTAGAAGAATATAGGGAAAAGTGATCTATTCCAGTAAAGGAATCTGCATCTGGTTGATTTTCTGACGTACCATTCCCAGTTGGTAATAATGTCAATCATCCAGGTAAAGTTGGACAATTCGTTGTGCTCACTCTTTGAGAAGACCTCTTCATTGACTAGGTTTTTGCAGTGAGAAACTACAGTTTTACGAAGGATATTGTAGCCTCCATTGAATGAGCCGATAATAGTCTTCATCAAATAGAACATCTATTCAAAGGAAGAGGATTTCTTCTTCTTGTATAAATTCTGCATTCCCTTTTGCAAAACCATGTTAATTTCCTCAGAAAGATAACGATTTATCAGCACTACCCATTGATTGATCATGTACTTCTTTGTCTTGAACTCGATTTCAATGGCTTTAAGCATTTCAATGCCCTAGACAATATCCTTAAGTCTATCTTAATGCAGCTAAACTCCTGTGGCTTAGTGCATCAGTAAGAGATTCTTGACACATCTTTTGATCTCAACAGCCAGTTTGATTCCATCTAAAATCATGATAGATCTTTGCTTAAGAAAATCTTTATTCATAGTCATGTTAGTATTATCTTTAAGCAAGTCAGAGTTCATTTTGACTATCCAAGGCACCAGCCTTAAATAGAATAAGTTCATTTAGGTTGAGAACTACTCATTTTTGGATTTAGTTTATTCAGCTAAGAATGAGTTGATATCTTTTGGATCTAATGTTGCTTTTTTCTTGAGCGGGCAAACATTAACTAAGAAGTTACCGGCATTGACTTGAATATTGTTGTAGAGCACTATGATTGGACAGAGTTTTTACAAAGCCCAAATCTTCTTATAGATTTTCTTGTCCTCATTGTCAAATATCTTTCTATAGAGTGAGTACATAATCAGCAGATTCATGTATTCCATATGTGACTTCATATCTCCCGGATTTGATAGAAGCATTCCGATATCATCTATTTTTCTCTTCAAGAACTCAATGAATTTGCTATTGAACTCTTTGTTTTTAAAAAGCAGTTCTCTGCCAGTCTCATTCAAGATGACTTTGTAAAGCTGGTCTAAGTAGTTAACGAAAAGCTGGCCACAAAGGATGTTGGAATAGATCTTACTACAGAATTTCTGGATCTTCTTAATTTTTCTGTCTGTCATATTGTACTTAGCAGGGTCATTTTTAGCAATCAAGAACATCTTGTTGTACTGTTGCCAATATGCTTCAAAGTTTGAGTTTTCAATAATGATCAAATCGACAATGTACAAAGTGGTAAGAATCTGACCGAGATTGTTAAAAATCTCTTCATAGAGTTGTTTCTTAAAGAATCCAGAGTAGAGCTTTGACTTTGCATTGAACAGTCCATTCATCTGATACAGTATATTTTTGGTCAATGCTACGATTCTCTTGATGGTCTCGAAGAGATCCTTGTAAACTGCGAGCATCCGAGACATTTGGATCTCTTGGTCTCCAGCAGTGTCCTCACTAGCATCTTCGAAGACAAGTCCACTTTCCCCGAAATAGATAAGTGGGTCAAAGAACTTCTGCTCAATCTCAAATTTCAAGTTGAAGGTCTCGATCTGCAAGAATGAGAACACTGAGATGACCTTAGATATTTCGTTCTTTTATTCTGGCTTAAGCAGATCAAACAGACCAGGCATATATTCTTAGATGTCTATAGATACCTTCAAAGGTTGAAAGGCAGTGTCCTTAATTCGCCACAGATCAAGCAGTCTGGCATTGGTGATCTTCTCGAATTTGTTAATTTGCTCTAAGAAGTCATTCATGTTCTTGACTCCCTCTTCAAATACAGCTTCCTAAGGTTTCTCTATTGAAGTATATAAATATATGCAAATAATAAATTAGCTTACTTTTAGGAATGAAGTCCATTTCGAAGTTGTCATCGACCTTCTTGTTATTTTCATCATCTGAGGAACTAGATGATGAAGAATTTTCGTCGAATAAAGCTGACATCTACAATTAATAATGATCATTATAGAATGATTACTTGATTGGATACTCTCTCTTTATCTTAATAATATATTTATTATTATAAATATTGTCAAATCATTTGGCTAATAATTATTCCTCAGAACAGATTTATAAATAAATTTCCCTTAAACAAAACTTTTGTAAAATGCTGGATAAACTTTCCAAAAACCTTTTAGGCTTGCTTCTTCAATACTTAGAAGGCCATGAGATCCATAAAGTAGAGTAAGTGTCACGCAAGCTGAAAGCAAATACTAATCAAGACTACATATGGAGGTATCTAACTGAAAACAAATTGGAGTTGGTTCAAAAATTCTACTAGGATAATTGGAGATAATGCTTCTGGAGGAATAATAATGCTGCTCAGCATATGACTTCCAAGAATTTCAGACATCAAATGTGCCCCATCAGGCACTTCAAGAATCTAGTCTCATTAGTAGATTCACATGGTAACTTTGTCTTCGCAGCTGATGATAAGGGGAATGTTGGAATCTTCCTTATAAACGAAAAGGATCTCGAAAATGATGATGAAACCTTACAGACTGAGACTCTTCAGACTGATGGCGTTGAATATCTCAAGTACCTCTCTTACCAATCTGAGTTGATAATAGTGACTAAAACAGCAATGATTATCGTCTTACAAATCCAGCAGACAAGTCATGATAAGTTTCTCTGGTCATTAAAAGGACAGATTAACCTTGAAATAGCTCCTGCGAATCTTTATGTTACACAGCTAGGCGATAAATCTGCCTAATTTTACATCAGCAATCTTCCACTCTGCGGGGACAGCTTTACTGCAGATCAGACTGTTTTTATTTTCAACTCTCAGAATATGACCATTGAGTATTAACAAAAACTTGACTTGGACGATATGGCTTAGGATCCCTTTCAATAGTTTCAATTCGGGTTGCAATAGAGACCTTGGTATTATAATTTCCGTCAAAATCAGATGATGAGTCTCCAGCACTTTAAAGAAGTCAAGCAAAGATATCAACTCGCTGTATTCATTTCAAATCAGTTCCTCATATTCTCTCACTTCTCCAAGAAGCTGATCAAAATTGACACTAAGATGTCAAAGCTAGACATGTTTATGAAGAAGACCAATGTAGAGGTGCATGAAATCTTTTCGGATGAAACACATGTAGCCTTAAATCTGAAGCTTTTTAAGGGTTTCTTGCTCTCGCACAACTCAAATGAGCTAAGATTAATTAACTTCACAACAATGCAAGTCTTGCATACCATAAACATTGGCCATAGTCTCTTGAGTCTGATTAGTACTGATGAGTAAAACAACTAAATTAGGATAATTAAGAAGCAAGTAGGGTTAATATAGACAACCTATGTAAATATTGACTTAGGCAAGAGCTAATTGTACTAGGAAAAGGAAGATTCTATAAGAGATGATCATGAAGTGAATGACATGGATGTAAGCAGATAACTGTTATGCTGTGCAACAACTAAGGGTAGCATTAAGATTAGGAATCTAAGAAACATCGATCAAGACCCTTACTTTATTAATGCTGGGTCTCTTACTATTAAGACATCCCTGCCACACCCTACAAGACCTGGTGTCAGTATTGTATGTGCCGATCAGAGT